AAGAGCGGCAGGACCCCAAGCCCAGGAGCAGCAGGAAGGAGCACCAGCGGCAAAGAGCTCCACCCCAGCTGTGCCCGCTGTCCCTCTGCAGCGCACACGGCGCCCCCTGCCCAGCCGGGGCTGGGCACAGCAGACACCCCCGCCTGGCACGGCAGCAGCAGTTGCGCCCTACAGCCCTGGGTTCGCCCCGGCCAGCAGACACCCAGGGACAGAGGAAGGCTGGGAAGCAGCAGAGAGGGAAGGAAGGCTGGGCAAGCGCGTTCCAGCTCGCCTCTAAGAGGGAAAGGTGGGAGCTGAGGACCCTCTTTGAAAGCAAAGCACTCCCCAGCCCAGGGCACCGCAGCAGCACCGGGTCTGCCAGGCTGCCCTGGGGAGCTGCGGGAACCCCTCCAGCTGCTTAGAGCAGAGGAGGAGGGTAAGCCCGGAGGCTGAGGAGGAGGAGCTGGGCCTTGGTTCCTGAGCACCGAGCGCCCTCTCCTGCCGCCTGGCAGGAAGGGAGGGCGGCCCGGCCGTGTCCTCCCCGCGGGGAGGAAGGTGCTCTGTGCAAAGGGATGTTCCCAGCCGCCAGGCACCAACCTCCTGCCCTGCCGCCGCCGGGAAGGCGCTGGGAGCTTTATGTGGCTCAGCACCGGGTTCAGTCCCCCTTGAAAAGGGAACAGCATTTCCTCTCCTGTTTTACTCCATCACTGCAGCCTGGGGAGGGAGATGCCCCCCAGCCCTGCAGAGAGCGAGCTCAAACAAGTCCCCAGATACCTGAGCCAAAGCAGGGAGCGCAGGAACAAGCTCCAAATGCACCCACGTCTCCCACTGCCTCTTGGCATGATAGATTTGATTGGCCTGGTCCCCAGCACAGAGCACAAGTAGAGACCCTGCTCTGGCCTCGGTGGCAGCCTGAGCTCTGCTGCTTCAGGAGGCAGAGGAACATCTGCCTCCCTTGACCTCCACAAGGACAGGCCAAGAAGGAAAGAGCAAGAGGCTTCAGTGTTCCAGCCCATCCCTCTCCCCACTGGTCTGCAGAGAGTGAACTGGTGAACCCCATATGTGAGTGGCTCAAGCTAATTCAGATCCGCACAAGGTTGCCCATCCCTTCTGGAAACAGCTACCACTGCTGCTTGGATCAGGAGAGCTGTTTGTGGGGTTTTTTTTCCTCCAAAAGCAAATTTGGTGAGCTTTAAGCAGCTTGGTCAGGCTGGCCTATCTTGGCTCCATAGGGTCACTTTGTGCTCCTACATGTTCTCACCAAACCCCCAGCTGTGCTAAGAGGCTTTGCTGGAACCAGGGCTCCCTCTGCACCCACTTCCCCCCCTCCTCTGCTGAGAATGAGGGGAAAGCTCTTTATTTACAAGCAAGTCACTGAGAAGCAGATTCCCCAGCTCAAGTTACCTTTTCTAAGAAGCTGTCTTCTCCCTGAGAGCAGTGGAGAGAAGAGGAAAAAGTATGGTTAAGAGAGAGACCAAGCACTCCCAGATTAGCAGAAACCTAATTTGCATTACAAGACCCCGCTGAATGCCAGGTCCTTCACACATTTTGCTGACATGGCCAAAGTTAAACCTGGGGTGAGAGATCTGCCTGCCAATTAGCAGAAATCCTGCTCACATGACGCAAAACCTTGTCAGGATTTCTACAAACTCCTCCAAGGGGCCTTGCAGCCCCACTGCTCCCTGCCCAGCAAACGGGCAGCTGAGAGGTGTCCACCAGGAGGAAGTTCCCCTGGTCAGAAATAAATATCCCTGTGTTATTTCAGCCATCTTCCCTTGTGAGCAGGCCAGAGAGAAACATCCACTAGGCTAAATCTGTATTTCTGAGCATGTGGCAGCTGTGGAGCGAGCAGGCCCCCTAAGCAGCTTTGTGCAGAGCCCGGGCAGCAGGGTTTGCTCCAAAGCCCGGGCAGGGCCCTCCCGAGCTAAGAGCATTAACCCCGCGCGAGGAGCCCGGCACAGCCCGCGGGGCAGCCCTGCTGCTGCGGGAACAGCGCCCGCCGCGCCCCGCGGGAGCCCGCAGGAGGACACCCCAGCTGAGACTGGGCAGGCACCCCGGGGGGCGCCCCGGCGGCGGCGGGAACAGCGCCCGCCGCGCCCCGCGGGAGCCCGCAGGAGGACACCCCAGCTGAGACTGGGCAGGTCGACCTTCCAGGGTGGGGACAACCAAACGGCATTCCGGGGCTGGGCTGGGAACACTGCAGGGGCGGGCTTGGCGAGCAGCACCTCCTTCTGGCCACCTCTGCAGGGTCTGTGCCCTCGGGGGGCTGCGCTGTGGCCCGCAGAGCACAGCTGGATCCCAGAGCACAGCTGGATCCCGGCAGGAGCTGGGGTGGGTCCTTCTGCAAGGCAGAGAGGGCAGCCAGCCACACTGCACAGGAGAGGGCCTTCTTTCCTAAGAGGGAGTCATCTCCAGTCCCACCACCACCTGCTGCTCACTTCACTCCCTGTAGTGTTCCACACCATCAGCTTCAGGAGACTAACCTGCTCCTGACAAAGATCCTTCAAAAGGCTTTTAAAAGCCCACAGTATGATTTCAGGAAAAAAAACAGGATAAGACACTAATACTGAAATCCCAAGGATGAGATGCTCCACTGTCAGCAGCTTCTCCCAGGAGAACTAGGAGAGCCTGTCCTGCATCTCAGCCCCTTACCAAAATAACAGAAGGTGATAAGGGAACAAGTGCCCCCTCAGGCACACACAGTGGTTCCAGAAGGACAAATATTGATGCTAGAGGTGAATCCTGAGGAGAGGAACAGTTATCTCTGCACTGTGGAGGACCTTGCACACCACAGCTGGTGTAAGAGGAACCAGCCAGAGAGGCCATGACACTGGCCATGTGCTGAGCTGCACTCCTCAGCACACTCAACAGCACCAAGTCCTTGCTTTGGTCCTCCCACCCCTGCTTGGCCTTCCCCTGAGGAGTGTCAGTGCCATAAGCATCTAGAAGGAAAAGGATCCTGAAGCCCAGTCACTGTGGAAGCAGCCTGGGCACCTCGGAGGACAGCATGTCAATCACACCTCTTAGGACACACCAGTACTACCCAGCTGAGCCTGCCAGCACCAACACACCAGCAGCACAGAACACAAAGTGCTGGGATCACGTTGTTGTCCCACCAGACAATATTTAGAACCTACTCAGAAACAGGGGATAAAGTACAGGCTGTCAGGAGTCGTGATTATGGTGGAGGGAAACAACAAAAGAGCACCTCAAGCTCTGGAACAAGTAAATCAGCTCAGAGCCAGCACAGCTGACCCAACATGAGGACATTCCTTCTGCTTTTAGGAGTAAAAGGACAGGAATGTGCACTCTCCCTGCGAGGAGAGCTACTCCAGAACACTGCTACTCACCAGGTCAATGAGCTTGGTGACTGGAACTTCTCGGATTGGCCGTCTCATCCGGCATAAGGCCTCCAGGGAGGTGCCAAAGCAGCTGGGCAGGTAGGTCCCACTGATGGTAAGGAAATAGTCCTTCCCTCGGTCCAAGTGAAGGACAAGGATATCCTCAATTTTATCCTCACCAGAGTTCAGAAGGGTTACTGAGTCCTTGCTGACATACACGTCTAGGGAGATCTCTGTGCTCTCATCTGCAACAAAGAGGAGCTCTCAAGAACAGGCAGACACTCACCAAAAGGGACAAGGACAAACACAGTGGCAGGGACAAAGGCCACAGAACTGAGAAGACAAACGGACAAGAATGATGGCAGTAAAGGTGGGACACAGGGAAGACAGGAAGGTGGGAAGGGAGATGGGGTGGCATTGTGCACCAGCACACGCTGCAGAACTGGGGTACAGCTCACCTGGCTCCAGGTAACCTTCACAGGGCTCAGCCCGCAGCCAGGGCTTACAGTAGTGATTATCATTGAGCTTTGGGATGAAGGAGAAGTGACAGGTGACCTGCCCATTATTGGTGATCTGGAACTTCTGCTTCTGCAGCTGACGGAACTTCACATTCTCAAACTCAAACTGCAGAGCAAAGAGAAAACACCAATCCCCTCAGTGGCCCCAGGCACCCAGACTGCCCAGCAACCCCCGCTGAGGAGAGCTCACACAACCCACAGATCCCCAGGGAACACCTGCCAAGAGGCCAAGACAAGATGTTCCTTCTCATCCAATTCCTGATCATAAGTTAAAGTTCAATTTTCTGCAATCCAGTTTACTGATGCAAAGTGGTTCCAGCACTTCTGAGGCTGCTGTGTTTGGGAAGTGGACAGTGACCCAGGTTTCATCCTCACCTCCCTCCTGCTCAGCTCCAGTGAAGGAAGAAAGTCATTCTCCATCCTGTCCATTAAACGAACACTGTCTTCAAACAACTTCCGATACTTATGCTCATCCACAACCTTCACCTGTGGAAGATCAGGAAACACTCAGCAAAGTTCTCACCAGCTTCACAGGAAACTCTTTTGATCCCGAGTAAAAGGCAGAAGTGAAATCTCTAAGCACTTACCATCTGCAGCTGGAAAGCCACGAGAATTTGCACACATGGGTGCACCTGTAAGCTGCACATGCACTTCATGCATATTCTACCTCTACGGATGTTACTAAGGTCTTTCTGGGCACTGATCACACCACTGGGAGGTTACTGGGGGTGATGTCTGTGAGACAGCACTGGCATCCTGCAGGATTACTCCTGATTCTCCAGAGGAGAAAGGCTCTCCTTTAAGGAGACCTGAGCTACCCAGGGAGCAGGAGGTAGCAAAGCCAGACTGGGACCACTGATCCCACCCTGGCACACAGGAACCTTACCCCAATGCGGAACAGGGCACTGACAGGCTTGTGGTCACTTGTCTTCAGGTCCATGTGGCTGGAATACCGGAGCTGATGGATGTTCCCTCCTCGCCACAGGATCCGGTCGCACCACGCCGGCACACGGCACTTACCGCTGCAAGGAACTGCAGGTTACCAGGGAAGCCCAACAACCCCAACCAACATCCAGGCTGTTCCTCCCTCCACTCAAACCACCAATGACTGCATTAGCAGTGATGGGATGAAGTTCTGTCACTTCCCTTAACTCCACTACTGTGTTATCTCTTCTGCTCTCTTCCCCTTCCCTAAACAATAGCTAAAGTTCCCGTCCTTTCCAGCACCAGGAAACAGAATAACCTCAAACAAGATTGTTTCCAAAGCCTGAAGCCATGTGTACTGTGACCCAAGCTGCACTTGTTTCTTTTGCTGCCAGATCTTTCTGCCCACTACAGTCTGATCCAGCAGTTTTTGTTTCCAATACGGAAAGTGGACTCAGCTGTTACTATTATGTTATGAAGTCTGAGTCCTGGGTTATCCTGCATGATATCAACTGCTGTGCTGAACCATAAACACAGGCAGAGTAAAACCCAACTGCTGTGTGGTTTGAAACTCCTTCTTGGGAGCTGCTCCACCTAAAGCAAGGTTCTGCTGCAGATGCAGAACTGTCTGTGGGAGGCACCAGGCAGGGAGCTGCAAGCAGGAACCACTGCTGCTACTGAGTCAGGGGACAGGATGACTCAGAGAGTGTTTCCTTATATCTTTGATACCTTTTACACTGTTTGTTTGTCCCTGGTAGCAGAAAAAGCCCTCCAGGGCTCCCTGGATGTCCAAGTCTCCTGGAGTCAGCAGCACCCGAGGTGTGAGGAGCCCCAGGGCACCCAGAGCTGCTGACTGCAGAACAGATCATGGCTTGTCTGTGCACTCCAGCCAGCACCTTCTCATGGAGGGGAGTTTCCAGCTCCAAGAAGCAGGAAATCAAGTTTTGTGAGAAAATGCTTTTCAGGTCATAGGTAAATATGTCCACTGGCAGGTGACTCACCTGGAGTCCCACCGATCTGTCTTGGAGTCATATTTATACGTGGGGATGAATTTAATCTCCCCCTCTGTGAAATCTGCAAACGCTTTCTTCTGAGTGCGCTGGATGTTCAGCTGGGCAGAAAAACAACACGTTCTGAAAGAGCCAACAGCACAGAACCAACATACCACCCCAAACACCCCCACCCCTGTGGCTTTCACAGAGCAGAGTGTCAGAGAGCAGAGCTACAGGCAGAGCAACCCGTGGCCATGGGACTCACCAGGCATCCCCAAACTGTCTCTTGGACCTGACACCTCTAACAAAGGCAGAAATGCAACACACCCGTGGAATGTTCCTGAAGGGACTGGATACAAATTGCCACAGAACTGTTCACCAGACCGTGCAGACAGCATCAAACAATAGTTAAGGGAAATACTAATTGCTCCACTTGTGCTAAATGTCTTCATCAGTTTTCAGGCTTAAGCATCACCATCATTAATATTTCACTGCCAATCATTTTAGCAGAAGCCTCCAGGCATGTGCTGAGCTGACAACCTGACACCACCTTTCCTTTCTTATTCACTCTTCTGAAAATCTCTTCCTTGTTTTCCTCATAAAAATCTAAGCTACAGCTGTTTTCTGCAGGAAGGCCCCTGGCTCAGCAAAAATGAGCCAAGAACACAAACCACCAGGTTTACTGCTGAACTGTGTGTCAGAGATGACAGCACCCTGCTCCTGTGTGTCTGTGTCTCAGGCACAACCCTTTCTCCAAAGCATGTCTGGAGCTGCCTAGGTTCTGCTGTGCTGCAGAGGAACAGGAGGAGCCCAGCACTGAGCTCAGGCCAGCCTGGCTGAGCAGACCTTGGTGCCAGCCTCCAGATCAACACCTCTCCCACAGCAGCTTTTGTGGCTTTCACAAGACCTATGTCCTAGGTGCAGCTTGCACCTAACAGAGAACTCTGCTGATGAGATGCAAAGACATCTCCACAGCAACTCCCCGGGTCACCCACTAACCCTGGTGTCACGGACAAGCTGGTTGTGTTCAGGGGGTTGATGTCTCCAGGACACCCTGAGCTTGGTCTGGGGTCTGGCATCTACATCTGCAGACAGTTGCTGCAGAGGGTCTCTGCCTGCTCCTCCCAAGAACAGGCACATCTTAAACCAGGAGGACCTCACAAATAAGCAGAGTTCACTGACCTGGTCATATGTCAGCAATTTCTGAAGCTCGTTCTTGGTGATAAAATTTTTCACCTCACTGGCATCAGGGAGACAAAGCCTGTAGTTCAGGTCTCCTAGCCAGATGACAACACTGGAAACAAACATGGAAGAGAAGAGCCAGGGGTTAGTATCATAGGCCAGGCATGGAAGAAGAGGTGTAGGAGAATAGAGGATTGGTTGCTGGTGATTAATGTTCAGACTCATGAAAGACAAAAGGAGACATGAAGGATCAAATCCAACAGCAGAAATGCCACGTGGCAGCAGATACCACAGTCCTAAATCCACTGCAATCCCACATGGGACTGAAGACTGAGTGTGATGGGAGACACGTGAGTTTGCCTCAGTCTGAAAACAGCCCGAGAACACCCCAGCTCCCTCATGCAGTGAAACCAGCCCCATCTCACCGAGCTTCATGACCTCTCAGCTGCACAAAACCCATCTGGTACTCAGGCTCACGTGTACAGGAGAGGGAGCAGCCAGCTGGGCAGGCTGCTGTGTGTGTGCTCAGACCTCCTGTGGCACCGTGGTTTGACCTGATCCTCTGCCACTGCCTTCAGCCAGGCCAGGACCCCCCTGGCACCTACCCAGGACTGGCAAAGTGGAGTTGGGCTCCTCTGGAGTCTGTGACCTCCAGAACATCCCTGTCCTGCCTCCCGTCAGCCGTGCCTCCTCAGCCCTTGTTCTCCCTCTGCACTTTCAAACAGACCCACAGCCTTTCCATCACCAGCAGCTCCAGAAACACTTCTGGTATCCACTCTTTACTCCATAAAGGTTTCATTTAAAGATTAAAATCTACCCCCTCTCTAGTATCAAAGCTCTTCCTGTTTATAGTCAAACTTCAGAATTTCCATTAGTGGATTATCAAGGATAATCTAATATTTGAACTTTTTTTCTGTAGTAATCCACTCCACATTCTATTTTCATTTTTAAAATGGTTTAAATATTAACCACAGAAGTATTAGTAATTTGTATCCCATCTATGAGAACTTAATTTATATGATTTGCTGTGTACATGTTTGAGTTGAATTATTCAGCACTGCTGTCATCTCATTAAAATAATAATTAAAAAATCAAGTATTGCCTGATATAAGCCAATTAATTTAAAAAGAAATGGAAACAGCAACTGTAAAGCACTTGATACTCAAAAAAGCCTGAACAGCTCAGCCTCTGCCCATCCTGCTTTCCCTTTTCATCCCCTTCTCATACTCCCACTTCCCATCACAAAACCCTCGGCATCCACACTTCCATGATTAACCAGAACACTTATCTGCAGGAGATCTCTGACTTGATTTGGATTCTTCAGCACCAGAAGGGAGCAGAGAGAAGTGAACTCACTCGTGTTTGGTGATGCTGAGCTGAGGGAGGCTGTCGTTGGGGGTGACAAAGCTCAGCCGGGCACAGATGTCCTTGTAGTCCTGGTTGCGCCGCTCGAAGTCCTCGACGTGGGCAGCCAGGTGGGAGTTGACCAGGCAGAAGGTGGTGTTGTGGAACACGAACCTGACGGCCACGCCGCCCTTGTTGCCCTGGGGGAGCAGGGAGCAGTCAGGCATGGCACGGGCAGGGGAACGAGTCCAGGCTGTGCTGCTGCTTGCACAGATAGATGGAAGCAAGCAGCTGGTGACTCACCATCTTTCCCATGATTCCTGTGCCCACAGTATCTGTCATGATCTCCCTGATATTGCTCAGCTGCTCCTTCTTAGCAAATATGAGCAACATCATCCCAACCAGACGGACCATTTGCACCTGCAGACATACAAGAGGTCCTGAGTTCTCAGACAGGCAGTGGGAATGCAGCTCTGCTCTGCCTCATGCTCTGCTTCTCTGGCTCTAAATTGGCCAGAATAAAAACCTGCTGCCACAACTGAAGCAACACTGTCCCAGGGCAGCAGCCTCTGGAAGATTTCACCTCATAAATTACCCTGTTCCTTCAAGGAAGAGTTAATTTACTAGCTCAAAACACACCTTGCTGCTTTAGTACAAGAGTGAGGAGGTAACACAGAGAAAGAACTCGAACCTCCTGCTATGAATCTCTTGAGCACATTGCTCCCCTGACACCCACCTCCTATTTTATGAAGTTATTTTGATCCTCATCTTTATAAATTACTACTTCAAGGTACAACAGAAATAGGCTCTCCAGCTTTACTGAGGCACATGTGACACACACACAGGTACACACATACCCAGCACATCCCTGCTTTCTCCAGGCACTGCTCTCCAGGCCTGGTGAGGAAAGGAGAAGCCCATTTCTCTTTCCTTCCAGTCATGACAACTCTGTGACAAGACCCCGGGACACTGAACACAACTCACTTTCTTGTACTTGGCCTGAGGGTGCAGGGCCTTCTCCACAGCAACCAGCCATTCC